GCAGCCGAGGTGTTTCGTGATGCTTTACTACTAGCCAATGAACCGCCTTTCTTTGACTTTAGAGAGGCGCTCTTTTCCTTGGCTGACTTTCTGCTTGTTGACTTGACCGTCATTGACTTTTGCTTGGAAGCAGAAGAAGCCTGAGAAGCTCGAGGACCGGCGCTCTTGACTTTACTTTTAGCTGATCCACTAGCACCAGCGCCACCACTTTCTGCCTTGTTTGTCGGTGACGAGGCTGAAGCAGCAGCAGCAGCAGAGACTGGTGGTGGATTCTCACCAAACTGCAAATCAGTGAAGGTACGAATCATCATCAGCTTCTTGTCCTCTTCCTTCATTCGGTCGATCTCCCTCTGGTGGGTGAGCACCAGGACGGCCACCCAGCCGGCGGCAAGCGCAGCTCGAGCCTCATCGCCGCTCTTTGTGAGGAAGACAATCTCCGGAGGCTTGATCTGAATGCGCTCGGCAATCTTGTTGAAGGTCTCACTCTTCGTCAGCGGCCCATCACTGGAGTCAAAGTAGTCGTCGACGAAGGTGGTCAGATTGCCGTGCACCGTCTGCGCCAGGAATCGCTTGCTGACCTCCTTCCAGGAGTTGCTGCATACGTAGACCTTGATGCGCTCGGCGTGCCACTTGGCGAGACTGTCCGCCACGTCAGTGTACACCGCCGTCACCAGCTTGTTCTTGTCGTAGCCGTAGAACCACATGTGAAAGCGAAATTTAAACAACGCGTCATTGCCCCGCTGCTCGTCGATGCAGGCGATCACGTACCGGGCGACCGACTCCTGAACGGTGCCTGCGGGGCCCGTCTCTTCAATCGGCGGACCGGCGTCTTTCTTTGAGGCTTCTCGCAACTTGGCCACGTCCTCCTGCAGCTGCGGAGTGTTCCACTCATTGTCCAGGTACACCTTGATGTTCTTCTTTACAAACTCCATCAGCACCTATTCAAACAAAAGTGAGTTTGGTAAAACAAAAAGAGGTATCGTGCAGTGTTTGTACCTTGTCGAGGAAGCCAGTTTTGGTGGCAGTGCCAATGAGATCGAGCATAATTGCGCTGGGTTTACGTATAACTGGTGTCATGTTTGGCTGTTGAACAGCAACCGGAGAGGTGGTCGTTTTGCCAGATTTGACCGTTTTATTGGACTTCCTCGACTTGCTCTTCTTTTTCTTAGAACCACTTTTCTTGCTCATGACTGTAAATGTTTGAAAAAGTTTCAAAAAATGACTACACTACAATGACTGTTTTAGTCGTTAACTGCTCAACAACTGCATCATATCAACATTTCAATCAACTGTTTTGATGTTCGATTTTCAAATTTAAAAAATAGTTCAAGTGAGAAATTGATCAAAAGAGGGCGGCGTAGTCGTTATAGCAGGGGAAAATGAAAAAGTGAAAAAGTTGAATGAATGAGCATGAAACGTGATTTCTATTGCTTTATCGCCATCTAAAACATTACCTTTTTAGTAAAAGTGGTGTTTTTAAAAGGCAGCAACTGCTTTATCCCCTTCATCGCCTAAAAGATGCCCCAAGCGCATTACCCCCTTGCCCCTGTTCCCTTTGTTCCCAAAAAGTGTTGGGAGTGGCGTAACCAGTGGGACTGTCAGTGTTAGTGTCTACTGTTGCCTACTGCTGTTGTCGGTGATGTTCGGTGCTGCTGCAGTGGCTGCTAGGTCTATATACGGCGGAAGGGCAAGTTGGAGTGGATGGCAAGTGTGTGCCAGTCAATCTCTCACTCTCTTTTACTCACTCCATGTGCTGTTTTAGTTGTTCGTGGCCATCAGTGGAAGTCAGTGGCAGCGGCGGCGGCGGCGGCACTGTGTTTCCCTCCACGACCACCATATTCAAATCTGCTCTCTTGGCGCGTGCATCATCATCAGCAGCAGTCTCCTCTCTGATCTGTCGCCTCTGAGCTGTCACTGTCCAGCGGATACCACCACCACCATCACCACCAGTGGAAGCAGGCCAAGTGTCGCCTAGTGTGTTGTTTGCCTGTGTTTGGCTCCAACAACCGAACAAGTGTTGCGCCGATTCGGGCGACTCTAGCGACTCATCTCTGACATCCTTCCAAGACGACACTTTCCCTCTTTTGTTACCCGCTCTCTCTCTCTCAACTGATGTGTACACTACTGCAATCTGCAAAAAGTGGTAATCCTCTCTAGTTCTTCCCAGTTGGGACGCCACCATCATCATCCTCATCTTTGCTCTCATTCGATTGTGCGGTGTTGGGCATCGCAAGACTTGCGACACTTTTTGCTGCTGCTCCTCCATTTGCTCCTTTTGGTTAGGTGTTTGTCTTGGTGCCGTCTCAGCAGAGAACAACATTTCATCACTTGAGAGACAGATTGGCACTGCCATCGTGCATTCAGCGCATCCAGTGCTGTTTTTTGTTTTGTTGAGCATCAGCAAAGCACTAGCTTTGCCCCCACCGCTTACCAGACTACCACTCACACACAACTCACCGGCTAAATCATCGTCGTCCTCGGCGTTCACTTTCCACTTTCCATCCTATCGCATCCTTGCCTATCTTTGTTTATTCTCGACGACGATTTTGCCTGTTTTTATTTTTTGCGCTGTCGCGCTTTATTTGCACTGGTTTTTTGGTGCACTTTTTTCCGCACGGCACCAGCGACATCATCACCATCAGCAGCGGTAAGAGGGCACACAAGCACAGGCACTGAAGCCTGAGAGTTGCAGCAATCGCAGCAGAGCAGAGTTGCGCTTTCGCTCGCTCTGGCGCCCAAAGCTCATCATCTCGTAACATCGGAGGCTCTCCCAGCCATTGGCAGACGATGACAAAAGATGCTTCTGTTTGTCGCAGCGGCGTCTCATTTCGCCTCTTGGCCCTCACTGTCTGCTTATGAATTATTTGCCATTGCTGACATTCGCCGCACACGTAATACGCCCGCTCAAGAGAAGTGAAAGGCACAGTTAGTGAAGGGAGGCAGAAGGAAAAACAGAAGACAGATCAGAAGAAGAAGAAGAAGACCAGCCTGTGCCGCTCTGTTTGGTTCTTCGTGAAAGTGCCTCACTGGTTAAGTGACGAGTTGCACTGGTGGTGATGGCACAGCAGCTTCGGCAACAGCAACAGCATCAACAGCAATGCTCGGAAGTGGGTGCACCACCTCATTCGCCAGCTGAACTGCCAACCAGTGCTGCCTGAGCCAGTGGAACGAACCCCAAGTGAAGTGATGCCAGGAGAGAGAAGGAGAGAGAGAGTGAACTGCTTCACCACCTCCTTCACCACTGGCCCTGCGTTNGCAGCTTCGGCAACAGCAACAGCATCAACAGCAATGCTCGGAAGTGGGTGCACCACCTCATTCGCCAGCTGAACTGCCAACCAGTGCTGCCTGAGCCAGTGGAACGAACCCCAAGTGAAGTGATGCCAGGAGAGAGAAGGAGAGAGAGAGTGAACTGCTTCACCACCTCCTTCACCACTGGCCCTGCGTTTGTGCGTGTATGTGCTGACAACAAATTGGCCATCAAGAAGAAACAGTTTTACCTTTTTTACCGAGAAGACATCACCGCCGAGAACGTATCACGTTTCCTCTGAACAGAACACAATCACCAGCACTGACACAAGGACCCACGACACTGCACGGCACGTTGCTATTTTAGGCAACATCATCATCATCACGCCCTCGCAGTAGCACTGTGAACTGCACTGTGAACAGCGGTAAACAGCGCTACAATTCTGTGGACTTCTGTTTTGGCACCGTTCAAATCGATTACACACACACTGCACAAGCCGGCTCGGTCCACTGTCGCTGCACACCGTCTTCTGCCTCGACTGAACTAGAACTGCTCCTTCTGNACCGTTCAAATCGATTACACACACACTGCACAAGCCGGCTCGGTCCACTGTCGCTGCACACCGTCTTCTGCCTCGTCTGAACTAAAACTGCTCCTTCTAAACCCATTCACATTGATGCTGCTACTAAAGAACAACTCTATATCTAAAAACACTGCCTAAAAGATCACATGAATTGGGCGCATTGTTGGCGCAATAAATAGTTTCCGTTTTCCTTCTTTTTGTTGCGCCAACAAGTTCTACTACAACAATGTCATAACCAGAAGTGATCATGACGTGACGTAGTTGGTCATTCATTCATAACTAATTGTTTGTGCTGTGTTAAAACTTGTGGCCAGTGCTTGCTTTTCCTCCTACTACTGATTCATCACTGCAACGAAAGTTCCTATTCCAAGTTCCTCTTTCTCCTCCTCGTCTGGGTACCACCACCACCGCCTTTCCCAGCCCAGTACACTACCTTTTTGCCTGTGATTTTCTTCTATCATCATCATCACTCATCTAACCGAGAGTTTCCACCCGTTGTTGTCAAACGTCATCTCTAAATTTCATTTATCAAGCAAAGGGTAAGTGAATATGTGACCCGNATAACCAGAAGTGATCATGACGTGACGTAGTTGGTCATTCATTCATAACTTATTGTTTGTGTTGTGTTAAAACATTTGTGGCCAGTGTTTGCTTTTCCTCCTACTACTGATTCATCACTGCAACGAAAGTTCCTATTCCAAGTTCCTCCTCGTCTTAGTACCACCACGACCGCCTTTCCCAACCCAGTACACTACCTTTTTGCCTGTGATTTTCTTCTATCATCATCATCACTCATCCAACAGAGAGTTTCCACCCGTTGTTGTCAAACGTCATCTCTAAATTTCATTTATCAAGCAAAGGGTAAGTGAATATGTGACCCAAAGTAATTACTCTTGTACAAACATAACCTACCACACACAAGTTTTGCTGTTTGCACTGGCAGAGCAGTGTGTCATCATTAGCACTGACGACTAGCAATGTCAATCCTGCGTAATTAGTACCGTTCAGTTTCAATTAGCCGACAGTGAAACGTCCACCAAAAAAAACTAGAGGGAAAGACAAACTCGTCATCTCCCGGTCGTTTCTCTTCTCTCCCTCTCTCGCTCACTCAGTAGGGCCTAACTTGATTTGCCCTACTGTGTTACTCATAGTGTCAGGCTAGACCTCTCTGCAGTGCTTTCACTGCAAATGACTGCCGCAAACGGGTGACCGAGTTGAGGAGGCAAAGTCACGAAACGCCTACACACGGAAACGGGTGATGAATGTGAGTTGGCAGAGAATGGGTCGAAAGAGAAGAAGACAAAACTTGTCCTTTCCCAGTGAGCAGTGTGACTTCTTCTTCGTCGTCTTTGTCAGTTGCCGCTACCAGCGTAGTGCAGAGCGGCGGTCGGTGATGAAGACAAACGGTCTCTTCTGCGAATCTTCCTCGTCTCCGGCTACGACCACCGCCAGTGGACACATCACCATGTGTCTGTCATCGGCCAATCAATCGGTGACTGCTACTGCAGTTCTCTTTTAGCACTTCTTCATCTTGTGTCGGCTACTGCTTGCTTATTCTTCTTGCTGCCTGGTGACCGTCAGTTGAAGAGAAGTTTCACAAAGAAGGCGATAACGGGCACACATCATCTGCTCATCTGAGCACTCATCTATCTGTGAGTTTCATTGAGAAGCTTTGAAGCTGAAGAGCTCAGTGAAACAGTCACTCAGGCAGGCAAGCAGGCAGCTTTCGTTGCCCGAGGGAAGAGAAAAAGACCGACACAGATTCATCACGTGTCACTTTATTTTTGTTGTTGCCTTTTGCTCTTTCCTTGACTGCCTGGCTCTCTGTACGGCACTGTCAGTCACTCGTACGCAGTAGTACGGCAGCAGTGGTTGTAACCCACACAACGCGCCACTTAGCTTTGAAGAGTAGTAATGTAGTAGTGGTAACAGCAGCAACAGCTTCACTCGGTGATTAATTCCTACATGGCAAATTATTAGAAAGAAGAAGAAGAAAAAGTGAAAGTCGTTTTGCCGGAGAAGCAAACAAGAGCTTGTCTTTTAACTCGGCTCAGCTGCTTGCGGATTTTAAATTTAAATTTAGGTTCCTCTCTTTCTGTAAACGGAAAAAAGAGTGCTACTACCAAGAAAGTGAAAGCTCAGTTTATGCACTTATGAATTATCTGCCGCTCGTGCAGTGCTCTGTACAGTTCAGTATCACTTTAACCCGGGAATACACTCACACACATACATTTCATCGGGTTGGAA